GGGGGGGGGGGCCGGCCGAACCGGGACCATATATACACATATGTGTGTGTGTGTGTGTGTACATATACACACAGATATATATATATATATATATATACGAATATACATATGTTTCATGCACATTACTTATTTCATAGTATATATAACTCTAGTTTCATGTTTGGCTGCTAGACATCTTAGTTGGGCATTTTTTCAGTTCGTCACCGCACCTTTCAGCTACCTGGTAACCGTAACAACTAGGCCCCCTACTGGATTCCAGGCCTGTCTGCAGTTGAATGTTGTGGGTTCAGGGATTAGGGTTTAGGGTTATCGGAATCACAGGGCTTGGTGTTTAGGGATTAGGTATAGGGCTGAGGGCACACTGGCACTGCAGCTTTTTGAGAAAATGGTCAGGCGACACGAGCACAACACGAATTCAACGCCGGCGACTGCTTGCAGTATGCAAGTCAGGTCACCAATGAGTGAGACGAGGGTGCGGTTTACTCTTGTCTGTTGAAGCTCTTTTCGATTTAGGGGCTCATGTTTAGGGGTCCCTACGATAAGAAGCTGAGTTCTATACGATTTAAGTGCTACATATGGGGTCCCCTAGTTGTTCACAAGTCCATTTTAGCTTTGTACTCTGTAAAGAGAATGGAGCTTCAACCCGACCCTGAAGCCTGCGGCGTAAACTTCAATAGCATGGTTGATATCGCTGCGATGTGCGCAAAGTTTCAGCCTAATGTAGGGGCCTCAATAATTAGAATAGGGTCGCGGGGCCCATTTTGCTATAATTGTGATAAGGAGCCCCTAGAAGAGCATAGGTAATTGTTAAGGCCACTTCTATTAAGCTTTCGGGATGTATCGGGTCTTTGGGTTTCAGGGTCCGGGGCCAAGTAAGAAGAGGCTGCTTGGCAGGTTCATCACCGGACCTGGCGCAAGTGCCGCGAGGTGTTTAGGGTGTAGGGTTGGGGTTTAGGGTTTAGGGTTTAGGGTTTAGGGTTTAGGGTTTGGGGGCTTTCAAGTAACCAGGGAGAAAAAAGTACAGACTTTTATCTTATAATGGCTCCTTTAAGGAACAGGTCCCCAAAAAAGTATAGACTTTTATCTTATAATGGTTCCTTTCAGGAACAGGTCCCCCAAAAAAGTATTAAAGTATGGTACTCCAAAGCCCAGTTTAGGGTGCAGAGTTGAGGTGCTGGCGTTCTTGTGCGGGAACTGTGGCAATGGCTCACCTCCGCGTGTATACATGCATACCTAGTTCTGAGATGGCTCTGCCTGCTGTCGTTAAGAGCTGTCTGTCTAGTGACTCACGAGTACAAGAAGAACCTTTTCTGTTACAACTGTCAGCATTCGTGGCATGGCGACTGTTGTCCTTATTATCATTAGCGAGATTACCTTTCGTGCTCTTACTGCTCTTAGTCCTCGGTTAAACCTGAAAACTGGTCTGCTGATTTCTATGTGAACGAGTAATAATCGTCCTAGTAGTAAGCGTGGTTAATTGCATCATCAGCAGCGGCAGCAAGAGGAGGTGTAACATCAGCAGTCACAGTGGTGGCAGCCGCAGTCGTCGCCGCAACAGTAGCAGCAAAAGCAGCAGTAGCAAGAGGAGGAGGGCTTCGAGAAGGCACTTTTGGGTTCAAGACCTCCTGTTCCTAAGCTCCCTAAATCCTAAACCCTAAACCCTAAATCCTAAAGCCTAAACCCTAAATACTAAACCCTAAACGAAAAGGACCTGGGGGATGGTACTTAAATTCAGAGTTGCTGACGCCAGGAAACTCAGAAGTCTGGATCCAACTATCGGGCCTTATAATTCGAACGGGTTGCTGAGGTGTATGTATGTATGTGTATATATATACATATATATAGAGAGAGAGAGAGTGAGAGAGAGAGTGAGAGAGCGAGAGCGAGAGAGAAAGTGTACTTGTCTATACAGGGACAAGGAGACACTGTTATATGTACTGCCTACTCTAACCTCTATGTTACTTAATTTCAACCCTGTCTACACCTCGAACTCAAACCGCCCGTCCTGCTCAGGCTAAGCCGCCACGACGAGAGGAGCCGAACGCGGCCGCGGACCGTACGTGAAAGCCTTGCCAGGGCTCTTCGGTCTGGAATTTTGGGTTTAGGGTTTAGGATTTAGGTGGGCTCATGAGTACAACCACGCGTCCTAAACCCAAAGTTGTTCAAGACAGATAGACATTAAACCCTGAGCTGCTGGTTCGTTCTCTTAGTGTAGGAGACCCTAATCTCTCCACCCATTCCTACACACCAAACCCTAAGCCCTATGAACCCGAAACCCCAAACCCCAACACCTAAACTCACCAAACCAAAAACTTGAACCCCCAAACCCTTCAGAAGTCTACATCCGAAATACCCTGACTTCAGAGCTGAATCAGGCCGATGGCCTCTCAAACTTAGGATTCCGTTGCAGGGGATGTGAATACGGCTACTACCTGGTGTACTGCTGAGGGTGGAATAGACGGCTGATTTTCCGAAAATGCTGCCTGATCTGGTGGTGGGTATGCCAGAAGATTTAGCAGATCATTGCCTGCTGATATCGACCCTAGAGCCCTCTGAGGGCTCCTACTTAAAGTTCTAGAAGGGTTATATGGGCTTTTGGAACTAGGACAAGCGGGCCTCAACCATTAAAGTAAGGTCTATATCTATCTAGCTATCTATCTATCTATACATACTATTACATTGTGTATATATAATTCAATGTATTAATAATATAATGCATGGAATCAAAACAGGGGCGACAAGGAGATGTCCTTCGTCATTTTTGAAACCTGCACCGCTGACCGGGAGCCCGGCGAGTTTTCATCGTGTACAGGTCCTCGTGAAGCTCCATTACCGTGGAGGCACCGAGCCTCTCGGTTTAGGGTTTAGCTAGGGTTTAGGGGTTTAGGGTTTAGGGGTTTAGGGTTTAGGAGAGTCAGACAGAAGCTGAGCTTAGGGTTTAGGCTTTGCAGGGTTTAGGGGCGAAGGGGTGGAGGGGGGTTTCGGTGGGGTGCGGGGTGTTGGGTTTAGTGAGCTAGGCTTCGCTTTCGATTGGGATTCGGTGTGTTTCGGGCTTCAGAAATGCGCAAAGTACTGCTCAGCAACGAACGTACTATTCTGCGCTCAAGTTGCACGGCCTGACCCCCGGAACTCCGTGCACAACTGCACTTCATCTGCAGAGTCAGGGCATCCGAGGTGTAATGTAGCGGCCATAATGATCAGAACGGGGCTTTGGGGAAGCATTATGGTACAGATATATTACGCAACCCTAAGGTTTGTAATTCTTCCGCCCCTATATTGGGGAGTAGTACGAGGGTTTACAAACCTTCGACCCCGCGGTGGTTTCGGCTGAGCCAAAGGGTTTCAGGCTTCAAATGATGTCGGGCAAGGCTGCATGGATATGGGTAGTTCTCTACCGTTTAGGGTCCGTCTTATAAGGGTGCCGTACTATATTGGGGACCCAAAAACGGACCCGACGTTAGAGGACTACCCGAAGGAAAAGTTCTTGAGCCCCAAGCCTGGACCCGCTCAGGCCCACCAATTTCTAATATAGAAGCCTATGTAATTACTAATATTATTTTGGCGGTTCCTTTATAATTATACTATAGACAAGCCCAAAACCCTATGCTAATTTGTTTTTGCAAAGCACCAAGAGGACCCCTAAACCCTACATCTCAAAACCCTAAAGCCCTAAAGGCCCTAAACCCCAGACCCCAAATCCCGAAACCCCATAGATCCCTAAACCCTAAAACCCTAGAACCCTCAACCCTAAAATTCCTAAACCCTAAATAAATCCCAGATCCCAACAACCCTAGCCCTAAGCCCCGAAATCCTAAACCCTAAACCCTAAACCCTAAACCCTAGATCCTCGAGCCCCAAAGGCCTCTTGAGATCCCTCTTGACGCCCTCCAGGAACGAGGCAACCAGTGGCTTCACCGGCCTTGCAATGCAGGGTTTAAAGTAGGGCCTTAATAATTCCCTATACTATTTTGGGGGGCTCCTTGTTATGATTCTGGTATAATGGGACCCAAAACCCTATTCTACTTATTAAGGCCCCTAAACCCTAAACCCTTATAGTAGCCCTTAAAGAACCCTTCAAGGAGCCCTTTAAAAAGGAACCCCAAAACCCTATTCTAATTATTAAGGCCCCTAAACCCTAAACCCTTCTTGTAGCCCTTATAGAATCTTTAAGGAGCCCTTTAAAGAAACCCGCAAGACCCTATTCTCATGATTAAGGCTCCTATATTCGGGTTCAGGGGTTCAACATCCGAGCCCAAAGCCCAAAACTCAATTTCTGCTGGTTTGAGGGTTTGAGGGTTGAGGACTTTGGGGTTTGGAGTTTTTTTTAGGGGTTAAGGGCTTTTTAGGTCTTAGGGTTTGGGGTTTAGGGTTTAGGACCCTAAACCCTAAACTCTAAACCCTAAACTCTAAAAGCGTATAGGGAACGTTCTGAGGCGAGGGCCCTCGATCGACAACCGCACAGCTGCAGCCGCCTCCGAACCTGCTTCCGTGATCTTTGCTTTGGATTTGTTCGGGCTTTAGGGGTTTGGGCTTTAGGGTTACAGGGGCTTTTGGGTTTAGGGTGTAGGGTTTAGGGGTTTAGGCTTCAGGGTTACAGGGGCTTTTGGGTTTTAGGGTTTCGGGTTACAGAATTGGGCTTTAGAGGGTTTTGGGGTCGTAGAGTTTGAGGGTTCGGCGTCTATGGGTTCGGATTTGAGCTCGACACCTGAAGCACAAAAAACCATGCTTTGATTAGGGCTTCAGAGTTTAGGGCTTAGGGTTTTGGGTAGCATAGAAAGTGAATGTGGGGCCAAGGGTCAGGTGGATGCAAAGTTGTAGACTGGGGTGCCCCTCATCACTCATCACGAACCACGAGCGTGCAGCCACCATGGCAGCCGCAACAGCAGTTCCCGGCCCTAAACCCTAAACCCTA